ACCTGTTTTGAATAATTAGCAAAATACAGAAGCTGAGCAACCAAGTGTGCTTTCAATTTACATTATACTGCGCCCAGCGACTTTCAGTGGACAAAGTACCATATGGAAGCAGGAGCTGGTGGCTTGATTGTGCGTTTACTTGGGCAAATCATTTAACTCCTTTCAAGATTAGTACTCTCAGCAGTAAAATTGGGGTCACAATACCTGGCCCATAGAGTTGTATGGGGCAAAGGCGCGCATGTATACACGAGGCTGCTTGTGAACCATAAAGGATTATACAGTGTATATCAGGACAAAACCCACTATGTCAGATTGCAGTTCTTAAGAGGTGGATGGGGAAGACTTGCCTGATTCCATCTCTCATTTCTCTTCTCTTCTACCCCATGTTCTCCTCTCCCCCCAGTCTGCTCTCCCACTGTTTCTGTGTTCTCCTTCATACTCGCCATTAATACTTCTCCCCTACCACCCTCCTCTCACACCTTCCCTGGCTCAGGGCTGGGCTCCTGCCTTTTCTGACAAAGTGTCCCTGGCCTCCCAGGGTTCCTATGTCCGTACACCCACCAAACTGCTGCATTTTGGGGTGCCTGTATAAAATGTGCACTTTTTATGGGGAATGAGCCTGAAACTTTCAACAGATTTGGTGAGGATTCCATGAAGTAGGAAAGCAGTGTTTCACCTCTCTGGGGTGTGAGGCATGGCTCCACGCTTCGCAGAGCTGGAAATTGGCCTGTCTGGGAAGGGCAGCAGAAACTCTGTTGCCTAGTGACTGCCTGGGAGGGAATGGAGGTGATGGTGCCATCTGCCTCTCCCTCGGTCCGGGAGGGCACCTGCTTGAAGTCCTCAGTAACCCTTTGCGCCTTACATTAATTCCGGAACATTGGTCCTCCTCTCCCGCCCCCCTTTGGCCGCCTGGCCCTTGATCTTTCCCAAGGTTATCCCGCAGATCTGAGGCTGCCCAAGTGCCACTTCTGCCTCATGTAAACGCAAAACACTAAACCTGGTGTCCCTATCAACTCTTGCCCTTTGACCTGGCTAGGGATAGGGTCCCTTCTCCTGACATGTCCATCACCAGTCTCCTCTCCCCGGGAGCATCGGCAGCGCTGCCTTGAACCAAGCCCAACCTCCAGCCAGGGCGCCGCGCAAAGCCTGGCACCGCCTCACTCACCTGGGCCCAGGCAGAGCAGCAGGAGCAGCACCAGGCCGGTGAGGGCCAGGACGGCGGGCCGCGCGGAGGAGGCGGCCATGGCTGCAGGGCTGATGTGGTGCTGTAGGGCAGGAGGGCGACGGGCGCACGCCGAGCCACTGCATCGGGACTGGCGGGCAGGCCAGGGAAGAGGGGCCTTGTCTACCCAACGCGCGCAAACCAGGCACACGCCGGTAGGCGCCGCTCAGTTCGCTTCTTTCATCGCTCGGGGCGGGACAGGACGCGGCCGGGCGCAGGGCCAGGGGGCCAAGGCGGCCGTGCCAAGCGCAAGGGCGAGCGCCCCCGAGGCCCCGCAATGCCTGCGCTCGCCGAGCCCTCGCTCTCCTGGCCCGGTGCCAGCCGGCCTCCCTCACGCCCCTCGACCCCAGGGGGTAGCCGCCCCTCGGCTCCAAGGTAGCGGCATCCCGATACCAGGAGTGCACAGGGGACCACCGGGAAGAGAATACAGGACGGCCGGGGCTGGCAGCGAGGACAGAGCTTAGTTCCCGCGGAATATGGAAGGACTGTAGGAATCCAGGAAAAGGGAAAAAGCTTTCCAGGCAGGGGGCAGAGGGGTGAAGGAGTGGGGAGGTGAATGGGGGAAGGTTTGCCCGATTCCGGCTCTCATTTCTCTTCTTTTTACCCCGTTTTCTCCTCTTCCCAGTC